TGAACGAGTACGGAATGCTATCACAAGGGTTTGTTTTCATGGGTCTCACGATGTCTGAGTCTCCACATCGTGTTGCTAACTCAGCCCGCAACTTCTTGATCTCCCCGTCGAGTCTCGCTATGTCGTTTCTCAACATAGACCACTTATTCAAACTACCTGCTGCGGCGAAGAGAGATCGATCTGTATCATTGGCATACACTTTGTTCAAGTGGATCAGGGCATCCAGCGTGGAGAAATGGGCACTTGATTGAAATCGACTCGTAGCGCTCGACTAGTTCCACCTTCTCAAAATGGTTTCGCTCGATCTTCACTCAAGATCCATGATATAGACGCGGTCTTCCATTCGCTTCCTTTCGAGCTCAGCGCGGTCCTGAAGATGCCGCCTATCCAACTCGCCCTGTCTTCATGACGCTGCCTGTCTAACTCAGCAAGGTCTTCGAGACGCCGCCTGTCCAGCTCAGCGAGGACTGGTGTGTCTAGCTCAGCCTTATCTTAAGGCGCTGCCTTTCTAGCGCAGCGATTTTGTCTTGCAGAGTTTCCGTCTCTGAACGGCCGCTGTCGTGTTATATAAATTGCTCATTGAATGCGATTTCAAAACAGGAAAATGATATTCACCTGGTCTTGAGATTTTCGTGGCGAACAGCTGGTATTTTGTGGGTGATTACAGTGTCCCGTCTGTCAAATTCACCGGGCGTACCTCCCTCATGGCTTTTGAATCGGCGGAGTCCAGGGCACGAATTGTCGGGGAATGAATTTGTAGGATACGGTTTGGCTTTTCTGGCGATACGAGGACTGCTGTGATGCTCATTGTGGTTGCAAAGGAGATAGCGCGAGACAAGGGCGGGATGATGACTGTAAGAGGGAAGAACCGATCCGAACCCCCTGACGTCGCCGTATCAGGCTCGATTGGTGCGCGAGTCTCTATACGATATCGCACCTACACAGGCCAGTATCGAGTATGTACGAGAAAGGCAGTGAAGATTAGAAGATACAGCAATAACTCATGACTCATGGAGTAGTCCAGAAAATAATGTGTGAACGAAATAACAATCCACAACGAAGTAGTCCAAATAAATGTTCGGCGTATCGTAAAGCACTGAGCAGTTCGTAGATCAGCAAGTCCAAGAGGCCTATAGGGAAAGAGTCAGCACGTTCGAAATGTATGTGAGATCGCATACGTCAGGCGTTCCCGGGGCGGTAGTCGACTGGTATGGTTGTTCACCGATACATTCAGCCAAACTGACGAGCTGGTACCCGGCAGCCTGGAGTTGTTGAATTGCATTCGGCAGCACCTGGTGCGCTGTCGTTTCTAAACGGGCGGACCTTGAGCTTCAATCAGGAATCACAAACTAGAAGAAGGCTCACCATAAGTTTCATGGTTCAGCGGTAAGATCGTGGACGGGTGTTGACTGATAGTGGACGTGTAGCGGCTTTCGCTTTCAGCGACGGAGGCACCGACAGAGTCACCGGAACTACAGCGGTATATAAGTCGGTTTGTCGATCGCTTAATAGGAACACCCACTCAAAGTCCCAGATTACGAGGCTCTGACCGCGTATGGCAGACGCGGAGCGCACTAAATAGTTGAAGTTGCCATAGGCTGTAAAGTATCGATGAGGAAATAGTGTGCCCATTATGAATTCAACGTACGAGGTCTCATGAAGGCTGGAGAGACGCCGACGATCCTTTCGAGGGCCTCTGCGCGTACATTCAGGACAAGTTCTTCGGCGGTAGTCAAAAGCGCTCACGTTCCACGCGCCACATCTCATCGTGAACTACGGATAGTACGTTAGATTCTGAGAGTGCATCAGCAGGAGTTTCCTACTTTGGTCCCAGCTGAGAGTCGTAAGATCGCTGTGGCTCCATGTGTGCGACGCCACTTGATGGCCATTGTTATAAGCATAGCGCACGCGGTCCATGGCATCATTATTGTAGATGCAGTCGTCTGGAACCATGCCGTCAGTCAATCTCCAAGGTGCCATATGATGCGAGGCAATTACAATTGTTTCCATCTATAAATATAACGTTAGAGACGAATACGCGCGAAGGAATCCTCGGAACCACTGACTGAAGAAGAAAGTTCCCTTGGCGCCGGCGGCATTCAATGTATCGACGATGTCGTAACTGGGGAAACCTGTGAGCTCGTGGTCCAGCAGAACATGAATGAATACTGGACTGACATGTACACCCACGGTCCATCGTCCTACGGGGCGAATATGAAATACTTCCAGACATGCATGAGGTGACGACGTACAAAGGTAAGGGCGACCGTGTTGGCTGAGTGCAGCTGTAGACCACGTCTGCGAGTTGACGTTGACGGGGCTAGTTGGTGCAGCTATAGAGAGAGACGCCAAGAGCGCAGTTGTGAGGACGGAGAAGAACATCATAAGTCGTGTGGGGGGACGTAAAGAGAGCAAAGCTAGGCTTCAAAGGAACCAGCCCGACTTTATAGTCCGCACATATGTTTCATCGAAATCGGTTACAGTAAAGCTGGCCAGATGGGTTTCGGTCATATGTCCATAATCGCCGTCCAGGCATGATCTTCTTCCCCAAGTTCCGAAAGGGTGGATGTCGGTTGGACGGTACCAAAAGTGTGGGCTCCGTCGCCTTGCTGGATAAATACCGCGTCGTCAAAAACGCGCGCAGTCTGCTGCCTAGGAGAACTTCAGAGAGAACGAAGTAGGGAGAGGAAGATGTTTACCGCGGACAGCTCGGAGGATGGCAAATAATGCCCGCCTTGCGTAAAGAGCGGAGGAAAGCGGCCCAGGCAGCATCAGATATATGTCAGTGGGACGACAAATGCAATTTAGTGCACGCCACGAGCTCCTCTAATCGGCCGTTTATGTAAATGGCATTCACGACCGAGGGGTAAACATCGAGCCTGGATGGTGGCTGGTCCAAAAGAGACAAGACGAAGTATGTACTAGTCCGCGCTGCGAGACCGTCGCTCGACGCGCTGTTTTTAAGCGCTCAGTGCTCTTGGCCTACCAGATTCCTCTTGAGCTGCAACCTTCTAGACCCAGGAACACACTAAGAAACCTTCCTCGACAAGGAGAAGAGATATCTCCGTACCGTCGAGTCCGGAGAACGTCGCAGAACATAAGCCGAGCATGCTCCCACTCCACTCCATTTAAGCAGTAAATCGTGCGTCCCGCCAAATACAGTGGGTGCTGTAAATCGGCGACATGGATTTGTGCGGTCCAAGACTATAAATAAAGGCCTACGAAACAGACTCCCGTGATCGTATTCTGTATCGGCATTTCGTACTGCAAGCACGCATTGAAGGAATGGAGGAGTCACGCCCCAAAGCCAACGTTTTCGATGGGATTCCAGAGGCATGACGAACGTGAGTGCAGGTGACAGGCCGTATTGAAGCTGAGACATCTCTGAGGCTTGCGCCACTTCGAACGAGAAAGAGGTGGTCAGGACATACCGCCTCGGCCACATGATCCGAAAGGTTGATTGAAATCTCTGTCGATGGGGGCTAGGAGATGACGAGGCGATGATGGGAGTGGCGATTCAAAAGCTCCGCGTCCAGCCTCGAATGGGTAAGCGATGGTTTGTAAAAAAGACCAGATGGGAAACTCGGTGGGAATGAAGCTGGGCATTCAAGAGGTCGGTCGGCAGAGCTCCAAGGAGTGAGACTTACGAGAATAATACCCTCGCGTGTCATAAAAGAACGTAAGTTTGTAGGAAGTTTGCCAGTCCGAAGGAGTACAAGAATATGGAACACGGTGGTCACGTTGAATTTGATTGAAGAAGTTGGTTCTTTTGACAAGAGTGATAGAAGACAACGGCAAAAAAAATGTATGAGCCTATTTGATTAGTGGCAGAAACGACATGAATTTTAGCAGGGGACCTTCACAGTCAGCATCAGACGCTGCCGACAATCATACACAAATAAAGCCGCGTATAAAACCCAATTTTTCATCACGACCTTTTTTCTTCTGTTCCGCCATGACAATACATTTTTCTTCTTATTCGTATTGATCTTTCTTTTTCATTGGCCACTTTCTGCCCGGACAGTTCTGAGCCCCGCGCTCCTACACTGATCTGGTTCTGGTGATGCGCCTATATTTACGATTTATTCTGGCGTCTAATCAACGTACGGATGGAGTCGGATTGAGAAGATGCCCCTCCGCTTGGTTGGGCTGTCTGTTATCGCCTCCTACATACTGTTATTGTAGGTTCCTACTCTTGTACTGGTCTTTACTCCTTCAATCAAATTTCTTTTGGAGTGTATTATATGTTGTCCTGCTGATCATTGATCATCGTCGACCTGCTAAGAATTTCTCTTCTTCGGTAGATCAAGCCTCTCGCAGATTGACGTGGATCGACCGCTCGATTCGTACTAGGACTACCTACGAGTCTGCTCCTCCACGATCTCCAAGCTAACCGCCATGGCGACTACGCGCAGCGAGGTAGGCGCAGGCCAAATCTCGTAAATTCATTCGGCAGACATATAGAGTGAAAGCAGTAGCGATTGGCGGGTCTATCGACGCTGTCAAAGGGCTTGCCTCCCGCATTTCGGAAGGCACTATCAAACTCTTCGATGTCATCCCCGTCGTGCAGCGATGGCTTGTCGACAAAGGTGCATGGCGCGATGAACCTACGATCGTCGACGCTTGCCAGCCCTTACAACGACCATCGGCGCTCTCACGTGGTGGCTGCCAGCCCTTACAAAGAATCTCTCACTCGCTTCTTCCATTCCTACATATAATAACCGGTAAGCAGCGAGCAGCGGTTGCCACGGGTGATGTGGCGCAGGAGCTTTGTAAGCCAAAGGCGTAACATGGCAATGTAGAAATCTGTGACTGAACCGCCTGTTTTCTGAAACGCAATCCGAACTAATCCCGTTTTGAAAGCGCGCATATGACAGGTATCATCAGCGTAGGGTTTCTCTTCTACTTGCAGAGACGCGTCACGCGAGGATCGAAGACATCGAACGTTCATTTCGCCTTCACGTGAGCGGCTGATGTATCAGATGGCGCAGACGTGATTATCCCTCTTAGCTCAGTGGTAGAGCGCGTCACTAGTATTGTGGTACATGGAGTTCGTTTCCTATGACGAGGTCAGTCGTTCAAGTCGGCTAGAGGGAATCAAGGTGTCAAACTCCACATTTTGGTGCGCCACAATCTTTTAAGGGGTCGGGAACTCATTTCCTGGCCTTCTTAGTGCGATTTTGGTTTGGCAGCACGGTGGTAGAGTACAGACAATCTTCTCGTCAATTGTACCTTAGCCCTTCTGCCTACGATATCCACCCTTCTATCATGGAGTTTGGTAGTAGTTACTCATGTGCGCTGCCACCACCGCCTTCTGTATATGCCTCACCCTTGGTTTCCTATTCGCGTGTTCACCGCGCGATGGCTATGAATGTTCCTCGTTCGCCTCATACGTCGTTGAACTCCGGCTTACGCATCCAGTCGACAGGTCTGGTCGACAGGTCTGGTCGAGTCCGCGTTTAAGGCGAAACAGAGCTGATTCGCGCCTTCTTTCACACAACGCGGTACCTTAAGTACGACGGGGTAGTTAGTCATGTGATGGTAAGGACTAAACGAATCACATGATCGCTTGTTCTCTTCGTTTCGACTTTCATTGGAGGACCATTTCTACGATATACGACCTTCCATTCTCCCTTCGTTAACACCGGAATATTCTCGTCAATGATGCTTTGGTCTGCCGCCATATGAGCATCATGACGAGTGCCCGAGAATGCTCAATAGTACCGCGCATTTTTAACGCTTGGAGGCCTGAAAAGTCCGTCCCGCGCGCTTCCAATGATTTCGGAGGCTCGTAAATATCCTTCTTAGGTGGAGTATGCGTGCCTCTCCCGCTCCATGATTCCCCTCCGACCCTATACATCCCTCAAGCATAACGTTTTGCTCCACATTCCATTGTCCTTTCCGATCGTTGCAGTACTTTGTAATTGCCTCCTCTTGAAAGGTTCTATCGTGGCTTCTCTTGACCTTGCACTTACGCGTTATACAGTCCTGAATATGGTTTGGTTCTAGTGCAAGTGCCACGAGGCTCCGACTGTGCTAGACTTCCTGGGAAGCCTCATGCACTCCGACTCGAAGATACGTACCAGTTAGCGACACGCACAAAAGACCTAGATGCTACAGACATTGTACTCCACGGGGTTATGTGTGGCGGCAAGTTTTCTAAGGAAACTTGTTTGCTTCGTTTGCCCAACACGTTTCTGAAGGTTAGGGCGCGCCGAATGGCCGAGGACCGACAGGGTCCCACTCCACACGCTCCTCAGGACGCGATCAAGGTAAATTAGGCATTAGCGGGGACTTTATTGACGGATCCTCCGTTGTGCCCCTCAATAACTATCATGACGGGCATCTCTGTCAGTTCTCGAAGGGCGAGCATTGTTCTGGTTGTGGATATGTGTTCGAGGACAATTCGCGCTGCACGAGTGGTGGGATACGTTAATAACGTGAGTCTATAGTGGCTGTTTACGAGATTGTCGTTCAAGCTGTCGCCCCGCACTGATCGACCTGGTTGGTTCCTGGTCTAGACTGTTCATCGTTCGTTCCGGTCATCATTGAATGGCTTCGCGTCCACGGTACAAGGAGCGCGAATTAATGAGCATTGTTTCTGGTATGGACATCCCCTTGGGTAGCGCGTGACGCAGGGTCAGGAGAATCGGGCCGAGACCAGGCCCCAAATTGCCAAAGAGCCGGAGGTTGCTTTTAACCATCACGTTCCCCTGTCCTACAAATTTTCTGTTGCAGGACGTATGTGCAGGTATATATCTCTCGCCTTTTATAGCCCAAACAGTCGCAGCTAAGCATCGCAGGCCCTTCCACTCTTTATCGCTCTAATCATGATCCGCTTCGACTCGATGCCGCTGGCCGTTCAGGAGGCCATGTGTACGCCCATGCACCTCATTCTTCCCGCGACACCATCCTCGTCCCGACCGACAGGTGCTCTCTACCTGGGCTCCATGGCCGCCCTTCACGAGTCCGAAAATCTCTCCCGCGCCAATATCACGCACCTCGTACAGGTCCTCGACGCGCCGTGGCACCCCTTCTCCGAAAAAGCCGGTTTCCATTCCTACAAAATCGACATCATGGACGTGAGCACCGCAGACCTCAAGCCGCATCTCGAAAAGGTCTGCGAGTACATCGAGGCTGCTATGCGACGAGGCGAGAGTGTCCTGGTCCATTGTCAGCAGGTACAGACTATTTCTTTCTTATTGTCTTTTTGCTTACTCGCCCAGGGTATCTCCCGCTCCGCCTCTGTGGTGATCGCCTATCTCATCCGCAACCGTGGCATGTCCTACGACAATGCGTTTGCTCTCGTCCGCCGTCAGCGCGCATGCGTCAAACCCAACGCCGGGTTCGTTCAGGCCCTCAAGGACTGGGAGACAGCCTGGCAAAGACCTGCCATGGGGCGGCGATTCACTACCTAATGCTCTAAATGCCGTTTTATCTTCACGCTGATGACAAGTCGGCGATCACGCTCGTACGTCCGCGCTCTCCCTTCCTTATCCTCACTACTAATTAACCGGTAATAGTTTCCTTGGACACTCACTCGTTTACTCTTTACCTGTATTTCTACTTTATCGGACTTTAAAACGGACTTTGTATTATCTCTCGCTGCTCTCCCTCCTCTTGCTATCGTCTTTTCTTCTTTTCTTTTATCGGGGTTTAATAGACAGGGGGTTTCTTCGCGATACACGAGGCGCCTTCGGAGAATCACTGCTCGAGGGCAATCATCCGAGACCCATCAGATGACGTGCCTCCGGTGAGCTTAATTGACCTCCTTGGAAAAGCGCAGTTGTTCTTCTTTTGAAGAGGCTCTCACCATCGTTCTTGCGTGCGATTCGCGAGAGGTGGATAACTCATGGCGGCTTACGTCTCGCTCTGAGCGTTCTTTCAGACTCCAGGCGCCTAGTTCATCGATGCTAATCATGGTTTATGAAAGGAGGTGCACTTTTTCATTCGCAGACTGGGAGGTCAGCTATTTAGACGCAACGTTGATGGCATACTTTTACGTGCTCGTGCGCGGAGCACCAAAGTTGAGTTGATACTTGGCCTTCTTCCTTCTCCATGCACCTAGGGAAGGGATTCAAGCGTTGGATCGTCAAGGACAAACAAATATCCCATACCGGTGGAGGGTGAGTTCGGAGCAAGCTCCCGTTCGAACCGGGGTTATCATCACTTTCGTACGTGGCACTCACACTCAGGCACTCGGGGCATACTTGTTTGGGGGCGCGTAAGCTACAGCCGTCGTCCGCAATGACCTTCCCAGCCAGCTTTAGGCGTCTAGATAAAGCGGGTCACCAACACACCGTTGACTGACCTACTCACCGCGTCCAAGAATGGAGTACACTTCGAGGTCACTTGGAGTAAGGAGATCGACCTTAGTCGACATGACGTACAAAATTAGTACTCGATGTTCTGCTTTGAGCGCGGAGAACGCAAAGTTGAGTGATATCTGGCCTCCTTCCTGATCACGAAGAGCTTACTTAGTACGGTCCATGCACCTAGGGAAGAGGATGTTTTTACGATCAAGCCGTGGTTAAACAAAGATCCATCTTGGACAACACGGTGGAGTTGCTTAGGTTCGGAGCACGAATGAGGCGAGCGCAAACGTCTATCACCACTTTCGTACCGAGGCGGCACCGTAGAGACTCACACTCTGGGGTGCACCCGCATATTTGCTCTGGGGTCCGCAATCACCTTCCCCCGCCAAGTCTAAGCTATATCATGCGCACAATACAGGTCTTTTCGCCTGCTCGTCCCCTTTAGTTACATCACTACTTTATGTGGTTATATTCTTCTGGCGTTCAGCGACCCCTCTACCTCTCCTTCCTCGTCAGCATTCCCTGTTTCTTAATGTCCATGACAAGCACTGTCCATCTATGGGTCCGTGTGGGTGTCCTATCCTCTGTATCGTTATCGCTATACAGACGCCAAGCCTCTGAACATACTTTGGCCTTCACGCAAGAACGCTCTCGCGGCGACTCTGAGCGAACATGGGTCTTTTTCAGCGCGTCATGGAGACGACGAGACGACGGACTCGTGGTCTAAGCCAGAGTATGTGTTCCTTCCTTTCGTGTCCGAGCGTGGTAGACGCCGTAACTGGGGCGCTTTCAACTACTTTGGCTTCTCATCTCTAAATGTGGGACACCACTGTTCTATCTCGAGTACTCCCGCTTACGCTCCCGACACGGCAGATTCCCAATGCCTAACTCACTCCGTCGGTCAGGCCATGGGCGTTAGTGTCATCAGTCGCCGCCTCATCATCTTCTTCACCACGTTCATCGCTTGGTGCGTCACATTGGCTTCATCGTTCAAAGATGGGGCATGCACGGCAGCTACATCCCGTGTTCTCCTCCACTTGATCTTGATTTGGAATACCATTCAATGCTGGAACGGAGGCAAACTTGTGTTGCTGCTATCATTCCCTAGTTCACCGATATGACTGGTGGTACGCGCTCAGCATCCTCGATCAAGTTAGTTTCTGACAATTTGTTTAGGTGTCGTTAACCTGCCTACGACTTTATCTCTGTAGAGAGCTTGGATTTGGGATTGGTTCTTAACATGCATCTCATCTGGGCGACTTCGTTCACAATGAAGGCAGTCCAATTCGACCACAAAGTCTCTTATCAGGATGGACAAGATGGAGATTTACAGGCTCGCGTCGCGTTTCAAAGTTTGGGGCGCGCGTTGCCTAACTTGTATTGCTTGGACATGGTCATCAATGACTTCGTCGAAGACAAGGATAACATGATGGTACTCTGCGCTCCTTTCTACTCCGTGCACGCCTGACATAGCATTCTAAAGGACACGCTCAGCAGCTTTGTAGCTACTCGTTGCCGAACCTAGGCATTCTAATCCTCATGATTTGTCATGGGCTGCTCTGCTCACGTCCTCGTCGAAGTGACTTTCCGAGTGATGACGGGGGTGACCGTCGCCAGCACGACTACGCGATCGTCTTCTTTCGTACTTGTCCCTCTTTGGACGTCATTTCATTCAATGGCGTACGTTTTGAAGACCCTCCGGTCTTCATGCAACCAGATCGTGTTTGGAGGCGTGTCACGGTTGCCGGGGAAGTTGAAGCACACATGACGGGGAGGGAATCT